CTAACCCCCCCCCCCCCCGTCCCACCCCTCTTTAAGGTAGATCTATAGTTATGTCAATATAGACCTGTCCCCTTTTAAGTGAAATTTTGATCTAGTCAAGTCTGGACAAAAATTTCATCACAGTTTGAAAGAGCATAGCACAATTAGTAATTTTCCAAAGTTTCGTTGGAAAATATTGTAAAATATGGATAATATAGCCTTGTGAAGTTTGCCGTTTTTCAGTCATTTTGCATTACAAACGGGAAATTGATAATCAGATGATCAAACTGATTTAATATCAATTTCCCATTTGTAATACAAAATGACTGAAAAACAGCAAACTTCGCAAGGCTATATTATCCGCATTTTACAACATTTTGCAACAAAACTTTGGAATATTACTAATTTTGTGATGCTCTTTCAAGCTGTGATGAAATTTTTGTCTAGACTTATCTAGATCAAAATGTCACTCAAAAGAGGAAAGGTCTATTGGACGCTCTCTTTTAAGACCCTGGCTAAAAACATGCCCAGTGCAGTCTCGGTACTTATGGTTGGCCCTAACTTTCCACATAATTATACCATCAGTTACCTGGAGACTTTTTTTGCAGATCTTCAAGCTCCATGGAAGCCGAGGTAGAAAGTTCTAGGCATCGTTTGTACTGAACATTCAATAACACTAGAAAGTTAGTAAAATAGTAATGTAAGTTATTCTAGCTGTTTAGTTGTGTTTTTCAGTCAAAAACAAAACAAGTATTATTAGGGGATGTTTTAATCACCTGTCTTCGACCTTTGCTTTTTAGAGTAATAATAAAGGGCATCAGAAAGGATGTCCTCCCGATGACTATATTGCAGACATTTCTTTAGTCATCTTATGAAACAGTCTCAGGTATGACCACAATCTCTCTAGAACTTCCCCATCAACCAAACCCCATCCGTCAAGTCTTCTTGGGCTGTACATCATCTGTTACAGTGTGGATTAAATAAGCGAACGTTTATGTACATTTTAAAATTAAATAAAGTAACACATACATGTAGGTTCAGCGATAAAGTAATTCGGAAGAATACTGTTCTCAACTTGTGCAGTACAGTACAGTACAGTATAGTACATCACAGCACAGCACAGTACAAGTAATAAGGCTGTTAAAAATTACTTCCAATTAACAATACAGTACCTGACAAGTTGCTCCGTGCCCATACACATGAAATTGAGGGCAAGCTAGCTTTATACAATTAAGTAACTCAGTATTTTTTTGCTTCTATACAAAGAACGTAAATGAAAATGCTATAATAAATAATAACTACACTCAAATTTTCCAATACAATGCAGTGCATAACGGTAACTGCAAATACATTTAGTAAAGCTTCATAAAATATAGAATACCTTAAGATGTGTTTCAAGAAGACAGCATATATCGTACATAAAATGTATGGTTACGCCATTTCCAGTTTTCGCAGTCAAACATGTGAGCAAGTAAACACCATAGGCAAGTCTATAATAAATAGAAAGAATGCAGCCTCTGGTCTTTTAAAAACACAAACGATTGATTTCACGAGGACCTGAGAGATAAAACAAACAATTTCACGACGTTTCGAGCTAAAGCCCTTCATCAGGAGAGTTAAATAGATTGAAAATGAGCTTTGATACACGTGACTTCTTTCATTAGTTTTCACTATAAAAGCATCATACTGTATTTTCTCATATTCAATCTATTCAACTCTCCTGATGAAGGGCTTTATAGCTCGAAACGTCGAGAAATTGTTTGCTTTATTGAGTGGAATGCGTTAAGTGGAAACATCAAGTGGAATGTGTTAAAGTATTTATTTTGAAGAAGAATTTAATCAAGCAAAATGCTTTACAGCATAAAAAATAGTTATAACAATTACTGTAATGAACAGTTTCAAGAATTAAAAACATGCAGTTTACCAGAATCAATAAAGTATACCTTTCACCACCCTTAAGATTTAAAAAATCCATAGGAATGCCGTGTTTGCATCCCAATCCACAAACAGCAGTTTCATCAAGAGCATAATATTTGCCCTTAGATGTCATTTCAGAACCAGCCTGAAAATTGCTACATTCCTAAAAAAGTACAAAATTGTTACAGGGAGTGCTTAACGAGTGAAATTGTAAAGCATGAGAGTGCAGATCTTCTAAATACCGTTGAGTGTATGTGGTATCATTAACATTGTGACACTGTCGTTCCTCTACGGGTACTGTTTTCTAATTTTCCTCAATTGCCAAAGGTATTACATTCTACATAGCATTACTGTGATCAATAATTATACTGTCTGCAGCTTTACCTTGCTAGGTACTCGAGTGTTTCCCGAAACAACTGGGTATGAAGATACAAACTGATCCACCTCGTCTTGGTTGTGAAAGTACATGTTGTCACTTAACGGCTCACAGTAACTGGTTCCAGATGTCTTCTTTCTGGGCAAACCAAAACATGCATCCAGTGACACAAAAAGTTTCCCTGTTGTTCTGAAATACAGCAAAAATACATACATGTATTAAATGCACACAGCCAATAACAGTTGTCCCTGTATAGTGTATGCTCACAACAACCTGTCAATTTAAACACACTGTGCCTTTCTTTGTACAGTACAATAGTTACTTACCACAGTAAAGCTGGCATTAACAACATTGCAAAAGCCCTGACCATTGACGTTTGAGACTAAATGAATACCATGTACACCACATAGAGGATATAGAATGTATTGTACTACAGTACTTAACTCATCAAATTGTGGAAAACAGGTTTAGTAATAAATATCAAAAACACACCTTGGGACATGCTGGGCAGTTTGGTGTGTGAGTTGCAGCAGTCTCACTCTCACAGTCATAAAATGGTCTTGTTTTCAAATGGTATCTATAATAAGTTAACTAGTTAAGTTTTAAAAAGTAACAAAAATGGAAAATTAATAATTATGGCATTTGTTTAACCTACGGTGATAATAAAAGCATAGTTAAAGGAGCTGTATCACCTACAGCGCATAATTTATGTGCATTATACAAACTACAACCAAGCCTGTAGATTTCAATTTTATAGTAAATTTCAAGTTTATATGGCGTCACTTCGTCGGGTCAAATTTTTCTTTTATGTTTTGTGTTGGGTCTTCGCTCATCAAATGGCATGCAGAAGGCAAAACCGAGTGATTTCCGATAGTTTCCTATCATAGTTTGTTATGCACAGAAAAATGTGCAAGCAGTGACACTTCCCCATTAAGAGCCTGTTTCAAAGATGCATTTTAGTGTTTTTTTTAAGCTACCAGTACTTATTTAATTTAATTTGATTTTAACATTAACAAAATAAATTAAAGTGCTCTTAAAATACATTGTTCAACAGGTGCACCTTTAAGCAGCCAAACATGTGCTACAGCACGCTGACTTATTTAGCGATTCTGTCTAATGCTTAATTATTCTACTAGGAATCAAGGGGAGACCTTTCCAGCTTCATGGGTTTAATACATTTGTGATTACTCAGTGAACGTGCTATAATTTATCTAGAGGCATTTACAATAGATACACTTTGCATGCACTTAGATGCACTTTGCTCACCCCTAGTGTCTACCACTTATCACTTATTTACTGAGACCGAGGGAAACAGTGTGTTTTGTGGACCTGAGACCGTCGATGTTTCCCGAGGCGAAGCAGAGGGAAACATCGACGGTCTCAGGTCCACAAAACACACTGCTTTCCTGAGGTCTCAGTAAATAAGTGTTTTATTATATATCAATAGTCAAAGAAACAACAAATTAAAGAACAAATGAACTTAAACACATGACATATTTCATTGTTAAAACGTTATATTAAAGTAAACACTGGCTACACTGCAGTTACTTAAAGCGAAAGTTTTAATTACGTACTAGGAATGTCCAAAGGTCGCATCTTCATGTGATGGCGCACATGAATTTTTTTGTTATTCGCCGGTCGATAACGTATTGTTTCCCTCTTGTGCTGTTGTGAGGGAGACAGCCTAATTTCGTCACTCTCACGTGATATGCTCTCAGCCAATAAAAAACTAGAAAAATGCGACTTTGACTATTGATATATAATAATGTTATTAATTAACCCGTAAGGTGCCCAAAGACTTTCTCTCCTTGACAAATAACCACCATATTAGGTAATAAAGAATAAACTTTAAGTTAACGGTTAATAGTATTGTCACCTGAACTCTTCAAATGCATCAATAAATTTCTCATAAACCTTTTTTTTTTCTAAAAAATACATTTACAAGTATGTCGCAAAAAAATACAGAGAATATACAGAGAAGAATACTAATGAAGAAATATTCAAAGCAATTGAACAAGTCAGAATCACTGACAGTATACTATATGTGAGAACTCTGAAAAAATATACTGTACCTTCAAAAGAGGATTCTCAAAGAAGTTCAGTGCTTTTGATAGGTCATAAATTGAGACATGACATTCCATCATGAGGGTTAGCGTCAACTCCATCAACCAGATTGCAAAAGCTAAAATTCTCAAAAATTGCACTTCATGATGTAAGCCTATAAGGTTAATTATAAAACTCATTAATAATTCATGAGGAAAATACAAAAGAAATGAATGTTTAATCAATGTTTGTAAATCCCATAAAGATTTGTCCTGATTTACATAAACGTCAGCTTTGATTTTCTCGGCATTAGGTAATGTTTATTTTTAAAATTACTTTGCCAATTGTGATCGATCATAAGATGGGTCGTTTTATAAGAACGATAAAACATTTGCATCCGATCTTTATCTGATATACAAACTCTCGCCTTCGGCTTGAGTTTGTATATCAGATAAAGATCAGCTGCTCATGTTTTATCTAGTACATATATTTTTTATTATAGTTGCATATACAATATTATGTACATATTTAAACAGGGTCTGAAATTTACAGTATCCTGATATCCACGGGATACCAAAAATTTGGTTTTGGATACCAAACTGTGAATGAGTTGTATCCCGACTGGATACTAAGAGTATTTCAAACATTAATAAGAAGAAAATGTTAAACACCTTTGACGGGCTCC